CAGTGTATGTGCCCTAAACTGTTGTGGAATTTTTGTTTTACAGGTTGATCCAGTTGTATATAACATGCTTCATGAGGATCCTGGTAATGTTAGCTACTCTGCTGTGGGAGGGCTCTCAGATCAGATTCGAGAGCTTAGAGAATCTATAGAACTGCCTCTCATGAATCCAGAGCTCTTTTTGAGGGTGGGAATCAAGCCTCCCAAGGTAATAACACTATTTGATGCTGCTTCATCTGTTGGCCTGGAAAACTGAAAATACTTGGGGAGACGCTGAAATTCAACATTTTGCAGGGTGTTCTTCTTTATGGACCTCCTGGAACAGGAAAGACATTATTAGCTAGAGCCATAGCAAGCAACATAGATGCCAACTTTTTGAAGGTTAGAAATTGCTGTTTACAATTTGAATATCAGCTTCAAAATGCCCTTGTGATTGCACACTCATGTACGTGTGTTAACCAAGAAATGTGATTTTTACTTGTGGATTTAGGTTGTGTCGAGTGCTATTATTGATAAATATATTGGTGAAAGTGCTAGATTGATTAGAGAGATGTTTGGGTACGCACGTGATCATCAAGTAAGAGCTCAAATTATTATAGAATATTTTCCCTTCGGTGACAAGATTTATTAATCATAACTTAATAAGTGTTTTCTGCTTGCCAGCCATGTATTATATTTATGGATGAGATTGATGCCATCGGTGGACGTCGATTCAGTGAGGGAACAAGTGCAGACCGTGAAATCCAAAGAACACTCATGGAGTTGCTTAATCAGCTTGATGGATTTGACCAGCTTGGGAAGGTAGCTTAATTTTGTTTTCATCAAACCAATCCTATACCTCAATTTGTATGTATGACTTGTTTTGACATGGAGCACTTGTTTTACTAGAAACTTGTTGACTCTGAGTTGTGTTTCCAGGTTAAAATGATTATGGCAACAAACAGACCTGATGTTCTGGACCCTGCACTTCTTCGACCAGGCCGTCTAGACAGGAAGATTGAAATTCCATTGCCAAATGAGCAGTCAAGAATGGAAATCCTTAAAATCCATGCTGCTGGAATTGCCAAACATGGTGATATTGACTATGAAGCAGTTGTGAAGCTTGCTGAGGTGAGCCTGGGATGCTTCTATCTGTACAAATTGTTAGTTTCTTTTACCAGACTATTAAATCAAGTGTCTCTGTTGCAGGGGTTCAATGGTGCTGATCTTAGAAATGTTTGCACTGAAGCTGGGATGTCTGCAATCCGTGCAGAACGTGATTACGTCATCCATGAGGATTTCATGAAGGTAAGATTTTCAGAAATTTTTATGCATGTTAGGTCTGTTTGCTTATGAACTCTTCAATCCTTTACTTGTCAGACAGTTTTTTCTTCTTTGAGAGAGCACGTCTTTTTCCTGCACATTTACTAAGAGAATCATTAGCAAAATAGACCACATGTCTGCTGTGCAAGCTATGAAAATTGAAAACCCTTTATTTTTAAGTCATCTTACTGTGACAATGGACATCTAGACATTTACTCTCGTTTTGTATATTTGTATGGTCTGACATGTTATGGCTTCCTGCCATTTCAGGCCGTCCGGAAATTAAATGAGGCCAAGAAGCTTGAATCTAGTGCTCACTACAATGCTGACTTTGGAAAGGATTGAAACCCTGTTTATCATGCTTGATTTTTCCGATAGCATGCAATGCAACTCAGACCCTGAATGAAATGGAGGAGTTCAGATCTTGTACCATTTGTTGTTACTGTCAGTGGAATCGCTGCTTGTCTATTTCACGAAAACAATAGTGTCAGCAAGGAGATATGCAATTCTATTATGGTTTCAGTCTTGGCAAGCAACGTTGTTCTTTTGGAGCTGTCATTTGTTGACTGTAATGTGGTAGTACGCGAATTGCAGCGTTTCCATTTTATTCATATAGCTGTTTTTTTTTAACCCGGTTTAGCTGAATCATTTTCTACTCAACTGAAATGCTTATATTTGATCGTTATATCCCTCTGCCAATCAACTGGTGAGCAATTCAAGCATCTCAATTTACCCTGAATATCACTGTTATGCTTTCACTCGACTTTCAGTTAGTCTTTATAACTAATGTGTCTGAGGAGGTTTGACATGAACACAAATTGATTGATCAATTACTCAGATAAACAGAAAAGTAGATTTATTATTGATGAGATGTAAATAAAACTAGTTCACTTGTACTAGTCGAATTAGCTTCCCAAAGGGGTCTGTTTCTAAAATAGTAAATATTTGAACCAAAAGAGCAGACATTGTTACATTGGAGGTAAGAATCGGGTGCAAATCTTCAATGCCATTGTAATGCATCTAGAGCTTGTTGGTGAATTTGTTTATCTCCAGCCGCCACTACATTGAAACCTGAAAAATGAAATAGGTGAGGACCAGCATGATGCCTGCTTTCAAAGCTAAGTTCAAACTCTAACATGGATAAGATGAATCGTGTGTCGCAAATAAAGGTAAATCAGAATAAAGAGAACTTGGTATAAACTAGAATACTTGTTGCACGAGAATCTGGAGAAGCCTCCCAGAAGAGGTGGTGTCCTTTCCAGTCTGTTATAATGCCTCCAGCTCCCTCTATCACAGGTATCAGGGCAAGGAAATCGTAGGGCTGATAACAAGAGCAATACGATTGAATTATATATTGACAATAAAGTTTGTTCAGCAAAAGCTTTATGCAGTATGAGAATGAAAGCAACAAGGTTTGTTTTACTGTTGAAAAAACATAGGCAAGCACTTCAAAAGAGGCACAAAAATGCAAATGCAAGGCCCTTTTACGTCTACAGAATTCATAGCACGACGCTAAAAACTCCATTTCTTTTGAACTCTTCATTTCTGGGAAAAGGCTAGCCACCAAATTTGAAGTAAAAAGACTTGTTCTAATTACAGCAATTTGAAGTGCTAAAAACAGTCCCATGTCTTCCATAGTGCAGAGTTATACACGTCAAGGATCAGTTCGATCAGCATTGTAGATAGAAGCACAAGTTACCTTGAGACCAGACTCGATTACGAGGTCTACATATCCAGAAGCCAAAAGAGCATAAGCATAACAGTCACAGCCATATAATGGCACTTTCACCTGCAAACAATACGAACATGAAACAAGAGGGAGAAAGGGATCAAAACACTCGAGAAAAAGTACAATTCAATTGTTCACTCAGAAAAACATTGAGGTGATGTCAATGGACAGATATCAGTTGCAAATTGACAAGTCTTTACATAATCTATCAAGTGATGCAAGTTGACAAAATCCCTAACTTACATGCTGGTGCCAGAAAATATACCTTGAAACAGAGAACAAGGAAGACGAAAAGGAGAAGTAAGGAAATTTCCCAGCATCAGACATGAATTGATATTGTCATCTCTAATGATATTGTGAAATAATACCATAGTTGTGTGATTGAGGCAGATTTGTAGTTCAAATCTTATCATTTTAAAGAGATCACCCTGTTCATTTATTAATTGTTTCTATTCCATTTCGGTTGGCATTGTAATGGCATTAAACCGTATCATGTAAACCTCTTTATCTTGAACAGATCACACAAACCTTGCTTCTAACACGAGCAAAAGCTTCTACAGCATCCCCACTAAACAGATGTGGGCTAGTGGTATACCTGCATAAAGAAAGGAGTTGACAGCTATAAGCTACTCGCATGATATGAATATGGAGAGTTGACTATTTCACAAGAGATGCAATTACTTTAATGAAATCACAAGTCCTACACTGTTTATCTTAGAATAGGATAACAATAAGAGAGAGCATACAAATATGCTTGTGACAGTTTGGCACAAGCCCGTGTAGATATTTCCTCTCCATTCAATGTCGTTCTCCTTCCATTTAAGCCAATCCATCGTTCCCTTAATACAGGCTGGTCAATTATGCCAAGAATCTGCAAGGACATTTTCAGCATTTTAAGAAGAATATTCACTTCACACACATTGTAACAAGCTTATTAGCACTAAATGAAACCATTTCTCTTTTATACTGGCAAACAACAGAATGCAATTCTTACCGGTTTACCCTTATATAGCAAAGCAACGAGTGTACCAAACAAAGGTTTACCTAAAATGATCAAACAGATAAAATTACGAGTTAAAAAATTTCAAAGCTCAACACTGACTGCATTAACATTACAGGAACAGTAGCAAGAGGCATACCGGTAATAAAACTCTTGGTCCCATCTATCGGATCCAAAACCCAAACGAAATCTGAAAACTCCTCTTTGCACCTCCACCCATTCTCCTCCCCGAAACTACAATTAAAACAGCAAGAAACCCATAATGCAGTTTCAAAAACATTAACCATCACATCTCACAAGAGCAACAAGTTCCCTATTTAAGAATAACCCATCAGCATTTCGTTTCTCTTCTTTACTTTACGCAGTGACCAGACAAAAACTTCTACAAGAAAAAAAAATAAAGCAACAGTATGCATTCAATTAAACTCACATTGCATGAGAAGGAAAATTCTCTAGTATAATTGAAATCATAGCTTCCTCCGCTGCTTTATCAGCTATAGTAACAGGACCTGTAACAAAATTAATTAAACACCAAAAGTCTGAAATATCTCAAATTAGTCAAAAGATGAAAATGAAT